AGCCCCTAATAAAATGTTAAAAAAAAAAAAAAAAGAAAAAGAAAAAAAACTAGGGCCAGATGATCAACAGCCTTTAGTGCCTGAGTAGCAAAGATATTTTGGAAGTTTAGGAATACCATAGCACAGACATACACATAAATTTATATGAACTCCCTCACAGTTAGCAGACAAACGTGTAACCCCTAAGCAATCAGGGATCCTGTGTTAGCACAACATATCCTAATGCCAACATTTGACTTGTCAGTTTTGGTACCGTGTTGGATTGTATGCTACTATAATGCTGGGAGCTATGACACCAGTATTTCGAATACAAGCAGCGTAGCAGGTTTAAAATGCAAACAGACTAGAAAGAAAGGCATGACAATAAAGTTCTGACCATTAGCTAATGAAAACTTTAAGGACCACAATATAAAACTAACCAACCGACTTCCTTTGAACCCATCAGGAAAAGACTAGTCACTGGAGAGAAAATCATTGTGTGGACATGCTCACCTGATGCTTTCCCAGGACTGATCTCCTTGAGAGATGGTCCCACAAACACACACTGAACATTTCGAGCCCAGACAGTATTCCAAGAGTACACTCTGCCCTCTACCTAAGTCAACTACTTTATAGTAGAACTAGTCCAGTTTTACCATATTAAGATTTATCGATTATTGGTTGATGTTCTTAGAGGGAATCTTCATGGTTTGTGGAAAAATGGACTTTTCCCCACAACCTTTTTGAAGTTCCCTCAAACAAATTTAGAGCAGCTAACCAGCAGTTCAAACCCACCAGTCACTCCCAGGAATAAAAATGAGGCTGTTTGCTGCTGTCCAAAATGTACAACCCTGTACAGTCACTGAGACTGAAATGACGCCATGGCAGTGGGTTTCTTTGGTTTTAATGCAAAAGCACATTTCAAGGCATCAAGGCAAAATAAAAAGTACTTGTTTCACTTGCATTAAACTGATGGCAGGAAGTTTATTTGCTGGTCACTGTTTGAACATAAATTACAGACAACTCTGAAATATGAAGACAACACAAAAGGAGCAGGCTGAAGAGGAAGCATGAGCAGGCCACGGCCAGAGCCCTGTATTTCAGCAAGGGGAAGTGAACAGAGTTACCTGCTGTTTACTTGGATGGTCCTTGTCCTTCAAAAATTGTGCCAATATCTGCATCTTATTGCACCCAGACCTAATACCCAAATTGCCCATTTTTTAAAAGCTATATAATGCATTCAGTCACTATTTGCTTTTTCGTCTTCTTTTTTTCCCTGACTTTGCGGGTGGTGGTTGAGTCTCTTGAATTTCTTCCTTGACATCAACTGCAGGCTGTTTGAGAATGATTTCATGATCTTCATCGTCATTCAATTCAGCCACTTCAGACTTTCGCCTTTCCAAATATGATGGTGTACAAATTGGAGTGGAGCCCTGGATTCAACAAAAGATCCTATTTAGCACATAAATGTGGGGTGAGACTAGGAATGACTAACCCATAAATAGCACATTCCCATCACCCTCTACTTTTACAAGTTGTACTGAGTGGTTTTAGGCCTAAGTATCTTTTGGTGGCACAATCGCACTGTTAATGAGCTTAGATGCACATTAAACTTTGTACGGAATTTTAAAGTGGACTGGATTACAATTATGCTCCATCAGAGTTCTGAGCAAAAAATTCTAAACTAACATTTACAAAAATAGTGGCAAACCTTATTTCCCACTGCCGAAAAGGTAAAAATGATAATAATCTCAAAATAACCTTTGCTCAGCTCTCTATAGCCCATGTATCACCAGTGAGGGCTTAATGAAAATGTCACAAGTCGTGACTGAACTTGAAAATTTAACTATGTGGTAAATAATTACATTATTTCTATACCTGTGCCCAGAATAAGGAAGACAATTTTATCTGGTTATTCTGGGAATTCTCAGGAGTGCTACAAGTACCCAAAATCTGTTTTCTTTTTTTCCTCAATCATTAGCAAAACCTTAAATAAATTTTAAGACACTATGAACCTGCATATTTTTCTAACATGCAATATTATAAGTAATTTACCTGGCTATTCATAGAGTCCTGAAGGTCACTCTTTGAAACATCTTGGTTTTTCTTTTTTGGTAAAACCTTAAATAAACAAAGAAATTAGACACTGTAGCCTCACATCTTTACTTTTTTTAACTGTTATAGTCTCATAAACCCTTATTGGTAAAATCTCAAGTGAGCATTTAAAAACTAAACTGAAGAATCCAGCGTAGTTATAATTAAAGCAAAACAGGCAAAAGGGGGACAAGCAAAGAAGGCAGCTCGAACTGGAACTTACAGAACTGAATCAAGAAGGGGAGCCCAGAAGACTGAGCAGGCGGATGCCGAGACAGCTCATCCTGGGTAAGTCCAGGCAGTGAAGCAGGCCTGCCTTTCAAAGACAAGCTTCAGGGAAGGCAGTCCTTAGATGCCTGTTTTCACACCTTACTATCCCAGCTTCCAAACAATGCACAAGGCCAATTAGGGCCCAAGGTTTGTAACACAACACTAAGTAAACCACCCTCATTAATTCTGGCAATACCACCATTCAATAGTTTTGGTTAAATGGTGTTTTAATTTCAAATAACTTAAAATCAGATCATAAGCTTTTGCAAAACAAGCAAGTGATTTCAGGATTTCCTTCTTTTGCATAATGGAGATGGCGAGATCTGCAGATTTAGTTTTAGAAGAACCTACAATGTAGACCAACATTTCACATATTTAGTCAAAACCTAGTACGTGATAAGCTTAGGTAATTCTTAATTATATAGAACAACACAGATATGTTTAATGGCTGTTCTATATGTTACAACAGTTATTATTTGCCAATGAGCTACTTATGACTCATGGTAACCCCAGGTTAAAACTAGTAGGTAAGATCCCCCCCACAATAAAACATTTCATGAAAGAATATTTACCAATAGAGGAAAACTATAAACTATCCCTTTTTTAGCTAACTTCTTCCTGAGCAATTTTTCTTTGTTTTTAAATCGTTTCTCCATCCGTAGCTTTTCCGGAAGTGTTCGTTTCTTATTATACCGCTTCACTGCTGGATGGGATGGCTTTGAAAATGGAATATTCCAGTCTTTGAAAAGTTCTTCATGGACTTTTTCAGGTGGCATAAAATCACCTATATTTTAAAAATATAAACAAGAAAAGAGTTTTCAACCAAGTGGGAAGGTGGAGGGCGTTTAATGTTAACTTCAGGGATAACTACAATAAATGTAGTTAAACCTTTTATTAGTACAATGGAATTAATGGTTATAGCAGAAGCTGCTAAATTTGTGTTCAGAACTGTTCTTACTATTTCTTAGAAATCAGAGAAGACACAGCATTCACTTCACACACGACAGTTGGACACTGCCAATCTGGCTTACTTCTTTCTGGCACAACTCAGGATTAAGGGTGTGGTTTGATCTTGATCTCACCAAGGGATGCTGGAACAGAGATGCTGTTTCAGCAACCTCATACCCAAAGCACACGCAGGTGGAGTGTGGGCACTCTGCCTCTTGAGACACTGGGGTCAGGACGGCTCTTTTTGGAGGAACTAGCCACTGATCTGGGACTAATGTTTAATCTAGGAGTATCTAGGTGGTGCAAACCATAAACTGTCTACTATTAGTTGTAATATTGGCAGTTTCAACCCACCGAGGTGCCTGGGAAAACAGGCTTGGATAAATGATTCCGAAAGGCCACAAACATGCACACACTATGGAGGTCATCATCTGTCCTCTCTCCCACACATAAAACACAATGAGGAAGTGCTGTTCTGCTTTAAGGAATTCTGAATCAGGGAGCAGAGGGTAACAGCAGGAAACTGCAGACAGGTAAGAACCAACTAATCAATAAATAGCACGAAGCAGGAAATTCAACTTTCCTACCATCCCCCCATCCCTGGCCCTCCTCCAATACACGCTAATAGATGTGAACTGTGGAAGCGGCCTTAGCAAAGTGCCTGCATTTCTATTAGCCCATCTGTGCAAAGGACCAGAGCTCCAAAGTTCTGCTATAAAATCCAACAACGCAGACCTCCCCAGAGGTGTGTTTAAACTGTGTCAGCACTTCCCCAACCCAGACACTGTTAGTTGCAAGGCTGGTTGGAATGCCTAACATCTTCCTTCAGTCAAGTCTGCTCAGGTCTCTGAAACCAACAATACCGATATCCCAAAGAGTTAGTTCAGGATTACCTGTCCCTACATCAGGTTGGCACTGAGGTTGCTGTGTGCCAGTGTCTTGGGTAAAAGTTATACCTGTAACCAACACTGAAAGCGTTGGGGGTGGGATGCCTGACAGTGACAAGGCTATCTCCCTGGGGCTCTGTTCATATATGACAACCTCTTTTCCATTTGGTTAACTAGTTGGCTGCTAGACTGATAAAAATTCCTACAGAAGGTATCCTGTGGTGGCGACTGCCCCACCAACCACCACAGGGCCGCTGGGGTGCTAAAATCAGAGAAATGTCTAGGCAGTGATTGTGCAGAGCTCCAGTTCCCTTTCATGCTGACAGAACTAAGTTTGCATGTTTCCCCTGGCAGCTATCTCAGATAGAGGCCACCCCACAAAGCGGGGCAAGAAGCCTCGACTAACCCCTCAGGATGTCTGTTGACTGAAAACATGCAGTAAACAGAAAGAGCAGAGTGGGGAATGCAGAAGACTACACGCCATAATAGACAGATTGTTAATGCTGACACCTTGCCTGGGAGGCAAGCACTCTCTGTGATGTTTAGGAGGCAGTCCAAGCTGAAAAAAATCTAACTGTCAAGTCCTAATAAAACCAGGGCGGGAGAAATACCCTTCAGAGAGGAAGAGAAAGCAATAAGGAAAGGCTCTGACCGCCTAAAAGATTTTATCACCAAATACTGGTAAGAACAAAGAAAGGTAACACCCTTGTAACTTCCAATGCCTCAATAAACAAATCATGCCACAAAAAGAGAACAATGACTTGTGCAAATAAGCATGGTGAAAACAGTGAAATCAACCCTATGCAAGACCAAGTAAAGAAGAACAGAAGAACAGTGCTAAACACAAATAGAGAGCCAAGCGGAAATGTAAACAAAAATCTACCAGAAATAAGAAAAGCAGTGCAGGAACAAAACCCAATAGAGCACACAGGGCCACCACGAGTACAAATCCACTCCACCACCACCACGCTTCCACTCTTGTTATCATTCCTCTCCTCCCCCTCCTCGTGGATTCTCCTTTTGTGCAAAAAGCTAGCCTAATATCCCATCTAGAATGTTGCGGGGCTCTCCCCACTGGCTTGTAGGATAGATGAGCGTGACTTGATCTTTAATAATTTGACCTATGGACGACTTCTGCTTCAGCTGGCCATTCCCCTCAGGCTTCCTACTTGCTACCTTCCAGACTCGGCCCTCTTCACGTGGCTGACTCCTTGCTGTAACCTCCAGGCTTCAACGTAAATGATGCTCCTCAGGGAAGCCTCCCTATCCCACTGGGAGTGGGTAACTGCTCTTTCAGTTACCCCCAAATTTACTTATCTTGACTCTATCTTAACAGTCCTTAACTCTGAAGATTTTTAACTTCGAATTCTGCTCCCTGGAAAACGCACTTAAGTTCTTGCACTGGTGCTGCAGAGCTTCACCCGAGACAAGCAGGGAACCGAAGGAGAGGGCAATCGGCAGCCATCAATGCACTCTGAGCGGCACTCAGTCTTACAAAGAAGAGTACTCACACTTCAAGAGTCTTTCAGCAAAAAGGTAGTTGTTCATTGTCTCAGCAACTATCTTGGCAACATCGTCTGACTCAAACTCCACAAAGGCATAGCCTTTGCTACTGCCAGTCTGTAACAGAAAAATCCACAAGATGTAGGCCAAACAAATCTTGATGCATCAGTAAATGAATTTTTAGCTACTACTTTAAATAACACACATTCTCCCAACTAGCAAGTAACATTAAAAACCCCAAACCAAACTGTCACCAAGTTGATTCCAACTGACAGTGACTCGCTGGGGCGGGTAGAACTGTCTCTGAGGGTTTCTAAGACTGTGACTCTTGCCAAGAGTAGGAAGCCTGTCTTTCTCCTGCAGAGAGGCTGGTGGTTTCGAATTGTGACCTTATGGCTAGCAGTCATATTATTTCACTGGTAGTCTCATTATTCATATAGTTCGAATACCCAGAATAGTAGGATGCTTCACCTTAAGACGCAGCTAACAACATTCCCTCAGTGGCTCCTAACTAATCACTAAAGCACTGTGCTCATTTTCACCTACCCATTGCCTTCCCAGGTGGGAGCACAGGATCTGCACAGTACATCCTGGGCTCTCACCTCAACCCCACACTGTAAAGTGGATTTGCCCATCTATCTTAGTAAGGAACCCTGATGATAACGTGATTACATGTTGGGCTGCTAACCTTAAGATCAGCAGATAGAAACCACCAGCCAGCACCATGGGAGAAAGACGGGGCTTTCTACCTCCGTAAAGAGTTAGTCTCAGAAACACACAGGGCAGCTTTACCTTGTCTTATGGGGTCACCGTGAGACAGAATTGACTCCACAGCCGTACTGGGGTTTTTTTTTTAGTACTAAATATTTGGGGGGTTTTTTAGTACTAAGTATATGAGCTTTGTGGGGTTGTTTTAGTACTAAATATTTGGGGGTTTTTTAGTACTAATTATATGAGTTCTGGAGTCCAAATGCGCAGGTTTTGATCCTGTTCTGACATTTGCCTGGATATCATTTAAACTCTCGGAGCCTGTCTTCAACGCTATAAAATGGAGGCAATAAAATAACTATTCTCCGAGGTTTGCTGTATAGATATGAAACAACCCACAAGAACTCAATATGGTGTCAGTTTAAGGATTCGGTAAATGTTAGCAATTAGCAGCAGCTGAAAGTACTTTACAATCTTGCATTAAACAATCACTTTCTGAGTAAAAAGTAAAACTGGCGATGTGATTCTGGAGATGAGAAATCAGGTGCAAAGTGTATAGCTTAACAGACTGGGAATCAAGAGGCTCATTTCCAGCACTTGCAGTGGCAAAACTAGCAATCTAGACAAGCTCACTGCTGTGTTTCCCCATTACCTTCTCTGGAAGATTCTGGTAAAAATTAAAATGCCCATAGACCCATTTCACAATCCCAACTCTCAGTAAGAAAGAGTGGATGGGAAATTCTGCGAAATCCAACTCCCGGTAAATTTACCACAACTGTAAACAGTAACTTTGAAAAGGGACTTGAGAATATGTATTGTACTAATATTTTACCCCCTAATTCCAAGAACGCTGGAAACACTGAGCATAGGTGGCAATGCCCTGTTAACTGTCAACAGTTTGTATCAAACAAATCGAGTGGGTTCTGACTAGTGACCCCACAGGACAGAGCAGAACTCCTCTAGGAGCTTCTGAGACGAACTCTTGGCAGGAGCATAAAGCCTCCTCTTTCTCCTGCAGAGCAGCTGGTGGTTTGAACTGCTGTCCTTGAGATCAGCAGCCCAATTAGCAACCCACTCAACTGCCAGGGCTCCTTCAGTTATATAGAGGCATCTGAAAAACAAGAAACCCAAAGGATTCGACTTTAAAACGTTTACCTTTTTACTTCTGGACAATTTGAGTCTTGAAACAGTACCAAACTGGGAGAAATAAGCCTTGAGCTGGGGTTCGAAAAGGCCTCGCGGTATGTGACCCACATACACGACTCCAGGTGTGAGTTTCTCTTGCTAAAGAGAGAAAGACCAAGTAAATACAGATACATTACAAAAAAAAAAAAAAATCGCTTCCAACAACCTGCCCCTAGTTCAACAAAGATGCCAAGAACTACCCTGTATTTCTTCTTACAACTTTGTGCCTACGTGCTCGCTAGACCCACCACCCTTACAACTGGCTTCTGTTTCATATGCCAGCCGGATGCAAAGCCTTAAAACCTCTAAGGTTGGATCAGTGGACCAGCAAATAAAGTCTTGAACATGTCATTTCAAATTCCCTGCCCAGGAAACTTTGCAATAAATGTTCCCTTTGGTTTTTTATTTAGTATTTTATTTGCAAGTAATCCAAGAAATTTGAGAAGTTGCTACCGTTTGCAATAAACTTGTATTCTTCATCTCAAGTACTGTACTTAGGTTTTATAACAAGACCTCTTAATTAGTTTTCCATACGTGTATTTGTTTTTAAGAGTCCAATTTACTTTACTGGTACTAAAATTTGAATTTCATATTAACCATCACATGTCGCTAAATATTATTTTATTCTTTTCAATCATTTGAAAATGTAAAAAGGGCTGGGTTTACCTTAAGCCAATGTTTCCCCTCAGCTCGTGTATTTGTGCGATAATTTAAAAAAACACCCTTGATGTCAGGAGCCCCGGTCAGCGGCAAATGGAACCAGGCACTCAGGGTCTTTTAGAATTCCAAAATCACTAACGGCACACACGAGCCTTCCTAACAGTGAGGCCCGACAGAACCCCATCGTTGGGGAGGGTAGGGGTCTGCAACGCAGAGGCGGAGCAACAGATCGATTTGCGCTCCATTGGGGAAGCCATTCCCACCAGCTGCCTTCTTTTCCTCTGCTCACTAAAAACTCATAGCGACCCCATAGGGCAGGGCAGAACTGCGCCGTGAGTTTCAGAGACTGAAACGCTTTCAAACGGGCGTAGAAAACCCTGTCTTTCTCTAGCGGAGCGCCAGGTGGGTTCGAACTGCTGAGCTTGAGATCTCACTTAACTGGCCAACGTTTCCCGTGGCACCGTTTCCGGCACCTGCCCGTCACTCCCAGAGAGCGGGCACCATGGACGGGCGCGCCAGGCTCCACGCCCGCGGCACCACCGGGGCCCCTTCCACCCGCTCGGGAAGGCCAACCCTCACGGAGCCGGGCGTTGATCGGAGAGGCCTGGCGGGCGCCGAGGGCCGAAGGGACAGGAGCGCAGGATGGAGGCACGCCCCACCGGCCGCCGGGGGTCTCACCTGGGCCGCGCGCCGGCGGGCCTGCGCCACCTGCTTCTGAAACTTGGCCTGTTCCTGCGGGTTCAGCGACAGCAGAGGCTTAGCGGGGCCATCCAAAGTCGCCATGTCCTAGTCGGCCCTGGCTGAAACGCTCCACGCGGAGCCTACAGAAACACAGGACCAGCAGCCCCTTCGGAGCGGAAGCGGAAGGGGCGGGGATCCTAGGGGGCGGAGCAAAAGGTGTGGTGAAGCGAGGCCCAGGACTGTTCTGAGCCCAGGCCAGTGAGCTCGCGCGCCCCCTGGTGGTACAGTACCTCACCTTCCATATGTTTCAAATGGCAGGGGTTACTCATTCACCCCTATTTCGCGGCTGTATAGTTTTAAGGGGGAATTAAAAATAAACTCCAAAACTATAACTTTGTTCTGAAATATTCCTTCATTTTTTTTCCTTATTTAAACATTTATATGAATCTAAAAACCGAAGTCATTCCCCCAGTTTTCCACTGTTGTTAGGTACCATCAAGTCTGTTGGACCATAGCGATCCTATTAAGAACCCTATTAAGGGGCCCTATTAAGAAGGAAACTGCCCGGTCCTGCGCCATCCTTGCAACTGTTTCTATGCCTGAGCCCATTGTTTCAGCCCTGGTGTCAATCCATCTCGTTGAGGGTCTTCCTTTTTTTGGCTGCCCTCCCCTTTACCAAGCATGACATCCTTCTCCAGGGACTGGTCTCTCCTGACAACATGTCCAAAGTATGTAAGACAAAGTCTTTCCCTCCTTGCCTCTGTCTTAGAGGGTAGCCAGGAATTGGAATGGACTTGATAACAGTGAGGTTTTGGGGTTTGGGGGTTTGATTTTTTAGCTACAATGTGCTATTTTCTAACATTCTTTCTTAAAGTCATTTCTAGGTTTCCATACTCATTGAACTATGTTACAGTCAAGTTTAATTATGTTATGATTAACCCAATCATTCCTGTTTTGTTACATAATTAGATTAATTTTGATCAGTTGCAATCAAAGCCAACCATGAAAAGACCTTTCTCCTCCCAATCGTAGACATTTTTCCCTTTGTCAAAATTATCTTCTTAGATACACTCTAAGTGTGTTAGTCTGGCTCTCCTGGGTTGTAAGCAATAGGATTTAAGGCCAAGGATTGATCTCTGTTGTAAGGAGTTCTGCTAAGAGTTGGACTGCTAACTGCAAGGCTAGCGGTTCAATTCCAGTAGCCAAATCCTCCAGACAAACTCGAGGTTGTCTGCTCCCGTAAAGACTGATAGCATTGGAAACCCAATGAGGCAAACCTGTTCTGTCTGATGGGTCACTGTCTGTCCGAAATGACTCGATGGCAGTGAGTTATGAGTCCGAATCGGCTCAATGGCCCCTAACAACAACTGTACTCACCCAAGCAAGCATTGGAAGGCTTCCAGAGACTCTAAGCTCCACGTGGCAGAAACCGCTTCATGTACACATGTGCATCTCCAGGAGAAGCCCTGGTGGCATAGTGGTTACTCGTTGGGCTGTTAACTGAAAGGTCAGAAGTTTAAAACCAAGGTCAGCAGTTCAGAACCACACCAGCTCTCTGGGAGAAGACAGGGCTTTCTACTCCCATAAAGAGTCACAGCCTCGGAAACCCATAGGGGCCAGATCTACCCTGTCCTATAGGGTGGCTATGAATTGAAGTAACTCAAAGGCAGTGTTTGGTTGTTTGGTTTGATGCATCTCCAGCATCTAGTTGGGACCCAGCATGGACAGGCCCTAAAGAAGCAAGGAGGGAAGGGAGTAAGAGCATCAAAGGGGTACCATTAGCTGTGCTCCTGTTTCTGTCTCTGAATCTGATCACTCTGTCAAATTGATTGTGTTATTTATGAATTCTTAGCAAGAGAAGAATGATTGATTCACCCCAACTCAGGGTGACCGATCAGACCTGGATGGCTTTCTTGGTGTCATGGGCAGACCTGGTTCAGTCAGCAGTGCCCAGCATGGCAGAGTTAGGCTACTTAAAATCAAGATGGCCTTAGAGGGAGACGAGAGGAGCTCTAGGGGCCAACTAAACACTAGAAGGCTTCGAAGAGTCATCCTTATGTGTTGAGTGGAGTAAGAGCACCTTTATGTTGATGACTGATTTGAATGTGGAAGTTCTTTGCTTCTTACCTGCAGGTGACTCACAAAGGAGTCCAAGCCCTCCTAGTGCAGACAAAGCTCCACTGTGATCCTCTTTTCACAGGGACTCTCACCTGGAAGTCTTCAGGCAAGGTCAGCTGCAAAAGACCATTTCTATTTGGCTGTTTCTATCTGACCCTCCATCACCTCGGTCCACTTCAACACAGTTTAGTGTGTTCATGTTACCTTAAGGTCTTTTTCCCACATGTGATTTTGGGTACAGCCTTATCATTGATCTGGAGTCCACTTGACTGCTGACCTCCAAGAGTTTGGGCCAGGAGTCTGAAAGCAGGAGGGATCCATCCTATTTCCCTGAATTCTTGCTCTGAGTCACATTGTTTCTCCTGTACTCATACCTTCGGTTCCCCATGCATTCAAACATGGGCTTCCCGAAGGGAGGAGCCAGTATTGAATGTCCTGTGTGCAGAGGAAGAAACCAGGGAGCTCTGTGGGATGAGCAGCAAACAATGGCATGACCCTTCTCATCAAACAGCACGCTCCTCTTCTGGAACAAAGACAGCCCTTGAGGGAAGGATTCCTGAGATTCAGAGAGGATGTGGCCCTGCCTGCAGCCACCACTGCTAATCCTCTCCTTGTTCTCTGGGGTCACCTCGGGAGTGTTCACTGTGGGAAGAATCACAACAACTGTGGGGAAGATTGCAGAGTGCTCACCCACATGACTGTGTCTTCGGTAACTGGCTGCCATTACTGGGGGGTGGAAGTGGGAGGGGGCAAGAATGGCCTTGGGGTATCTACAGGGAGTCTGTGGACAGAACAGGCACCTGCAGCTTCTCTTCTGAGCCTGACTTCTGGGCCATCAGTGAGAAGACCGGAGCAGTCCTCAGTAGTGCCTGTTCACCAACCACAAACTCTGGACTCCAGCCTTTAACGGGTGGGCATTTTCCTGGATGTCGAGATGGAAGAAGTCAACCTTTTTCATGTCACAGGATCTCCTGTGTGGAGGCTTTGTGTCCCTTCCTCTGCCCATGGCCACATCTCATGGCCTTTGGAGAACACTTCCAGGAAGCACTGGAATGTGACCATGGAAAACACCACTCTGACCGAGGGAACAGCAATAAGCTGGACTGGGAATGCTCTGTGGTGTTTAGACTTGATCTATTTGGCTACAGTTTGTAAGGAGTTAACTTCTGTAGATTTGGGTGTACATTTTGCACACTTTATGACGAAGCACTATTGGATTATGTTAACTGTTCAAGTCTCAGGTTCAAGAATTGTCTAAATGGAGGGAATTATATTTTCAGCTGAATAATCATGATGATTAGATAAATACTGCAAATGTCTTCTGTAAATAAGTAATTAAATGGGGCTCAGGGTATTGTAAATTTACCATGGTATTAAATTTTGTGCATAGACAAAATGTATTTCTCATACTTTTTGTACCCTTCGATATAATATGATTCATGATATTGGGAGAAAAGGAAGAACGAGATAAAAATTTCCATTTTGAGTTTTTACTTTTCATCAAGCACAGCTGTCTAAACCTTCCTGCACCCCCAACAGTGGACTAAGATACACAGGTGATAGTCACTGATATTTACTTCCTTTTTGTGCATAAGCTGCTGAATTGTACAAGTCATATTTAGTCCATTTCCAGCCACACTAGAATCCACGGCAAGTGGCAGATGGCTTTTGGGGGAGTGGGGCCCCTTACGCGGTCAAGTCTTCGGCGGCTCTCCCAAGTCCAGTTCTCTTGAAAGCCAGCCACAGCCATGAGGAGATCTCATCATGAGGTTTGCTACTTCTTACCAGATTCAGAAGAGGGCAGGAAACAAGGTACAGGGCTGCTGGTGTCAGTAAGATCTTGGTTGAAAGTACAGAATACCATAGACGTTTGCTTATGTTTTATTGACTATGAAAAGGCATTCAAGTGTGTGGACCATAAAAAATTATGGATAGCCTTGAGAAGAATGGGAATTCTGGGACACTTCATTGTGCTCACGCAGAATTTGTATATTAATCCAAAGGCAGTTGTGGGAACAGAACAATTGAATACTGCATGGTTTAAAATCGGGAAAGGTGTGCATCAGGGTTATATCCTCTCACCATATTGACTCAATCTGTATGATGAACAAATCATCAGAGAAGCTGGATTACATGTAGAAGAATATGACATCAGGATTGGAGGAAGGTTTTTTTTAAATAATCTGTGATATGCAGATGACCCAACCTTGCTTGCTGAAAGTGGACTCAAAGCACTTGCTGAAGAGAATCAAGGAGTTCAGCCTTCAGTATGGATTACAACTCAGTGTCAAGAAGACCAAAATCCGCACAACTGGACCAATTAGTACTATTATGATAAATGGAGAAAAGACCAAAGGTGTCAAGGATTTTGCCTTGCCTAGATTTACAATCCGTATTCATGGAAGCAGCAGTCAAGAGAACAAAAGCTTCATTACAACGCTTAAGTCTGCCGCACAAGAACTCTTTAGAGTACTGAAAAGCAAAGGTGTTATTTTGTGGACTAAGGTGCGCCTGACCCAAGCCATGGTATTCTCCATTGCCTCAAGCATGTGAAAGTTGGACCTTGATGAAGGAAGGTTATAGAATACGCATTTGAATTGCGGTGCTGGAGAAGAACAGTGAAAGGACCATGGACTGCTGAAAGGACAAACTGACCTGTCCTAGAATAAGTATAGCCAGACTGCTCCTCATGCTTGGTAAAGTAGAAGGGCAGCCAAAAAGCAAGAGAGAGAGAGAGAGAGAGAAAGAAAGGCCCTCAACGAGCTGGATTGTCACAGTGGCCCCAACAATGAAATCCAGCGTAGGGACGGTTATGAAGATGGTACAGGACAGGGCAAGAGTTCCTTCTGTTGGGCATAGAGCTGCCGTGGGTCTGAACTGACTCCACGGCTTCTAATAACAGCAGTAGCAACAACAGCAACAGCTGAATATGATCAAGAGTTAAAATGGTTGATGATAATCTTAATACAAAAGCTCCGTGGGGTTGAGTCAATATATTGGGTCATGACAATTCTGCAGGACAGGGGAAAC